TTTGTATTTTTATTTTCGAAATGTATCACTGGCTGCGTTTTTTTATACGTCTCGCAACTGAACGTCCAAGCTGACCTTGTTTTGGCTGTAATGCCGGGGAGGGGGAAATTTCATTTCTTTTCGGAAAACAGCTCCATCCAGCCACCTTTCATCGCATGTGATGTCATGACAGACTACTCACTGAACTCTTGAAGTACACGAAACGTGATTGTCGACAAGTTAAAATAGTCTATTTTGTGTGTAGCCGTCTTACCACCTACTTTATCAAAAAAAAGTTAGTTGAATAAATGTTAGCAGCCTTGCCTTCTACTTTGTTAAAAAAGTTGAGTTGAATAAATGTTAGCTGCATTGCCTTGTACTTTGTTAAAAAAGTTGAGTTGAATAAATGTATTGTAATTTGGACAAAAGAAAGGTTAATAAATATTTTAATGTTTAAATCAGTTGTAATTTTTCGCTCCAGTTGTGCTCTGCACAAAGGGGAGCTTATGTCAGCAATGTGCACAAAATGAGCGCTCGGTCTGTCTGTGTGGGAAACTTGTTCAAATGATATCTCAAGAAGCGATCATCATATTCAGATGAAACAAGTCTGATAATATGGAACATGCAAATTCTGATAAGATTTTGGTCAAACTATGCATAACTAATTTGTATCAATTACCAGACCAAAGTTCTACTTAATTCCAAAGGACTCCGGTGCCCCTGGGCCCCATGTTTGAAAAGTATCTTCTAATATAGCATGCATTCCATGCATTAAACTTGAAATAAACTTGTATGTAATAGTGTATAGCTAATAATGTGATATGGTTGTGTGGTTTTCTGTAGAGTCCCTTGCATCTAGCTGCTGCCTCAACCCATGGTGCCTTGTGTCTTGACCTGCTTGCCAATGACGGTGCTAATTGCAATTTACAGTGTAAAGAAGGTAAAACGCCACTACATATGACCGCTGTGCATGGTAGATTCACCAGATCTCAAACTCTCCTTCAACACGGTATGTACTTTATTTTATTGAACACCGACAGTAGTACCGGGTAATGGCAATTGGCTTGGACTCAGCAGTGTCTGTCTCAAGTGCAAATTTGTATCAATGTTCTTTTTCTGATACTTAGTTGTCAGTGACACATGTCAATTATCCCAATGAAATGTCTTGATTCACATCCTCGGCAGCTCTGCTCAATTTGAAACTCAAGTGTAATATTGTATTAATAAACACTTTATTCAGAACTTTTCTCAGCACTTGTTTTTCACTGGAATTTAAGACTGTGAAACTAGGACACAAATAAAATACAGCACTATCTAGTCTTGACAAATCCATGTAAAATAACCGCACATTATTAGAATAATAACAAAGGCTTGAAGGTTTAACAGTTTAAACTGCTGTTTTTATGCAAATTTATTCATTCATGTCTTGGGACACACTGTCTATTGTCTAAACTTTGAAACCAGAGAGTTGGGTTTTATTTGGGCGGTTTGGTTTAATCAAGGTTCAAACCTCTTGTTTGAATATGAGCGATTCTCTAAAACTTTCACATTCTGAAGACATGCTGGAGGAAAGTATACAGAAAGATGACTGGCTTCCATTACCCATTTCCAGCTGAAACCAAGATATGTTGACTGATTGGATTTCAACTTATAAGACGAGTCGTATAAAGTAATTTCACTTTATTCTTTGCAATCTGATCAAAGATGGCTAATTGGTGACCATTTTTATGTTCAGAAATGTGGACAGCTGTATTTCACCATTTGTTGTCTACATTGATTGTAATTTGACAAATAAAATTACTGACATTAATTTTTGAAATCCAAAGAATTTAATGGTAGTTCTGCCACCAATAAATAAATAACTATTAGGTGTTACAGTGTATAGTATGGGTCATTGACTACAGGTACATAGCACACTTGTTCAGTTGGCTGGTCTTTCCTGACTGTCTCTTCACTCTGGCATGTCTGTAGTGTTTTGTTCTTATTCTGCATTTCACATCATCTTTATATTGTTTCGCTATCACTCCAGAATTCAAGTCTTTTGTTCATAAGGGTGAGTAAAATATCACTCAAAAGTAAACATTGCATGTTTTTTGTGAACATTTATTGTGTACATTAAACTTGATTGTAAATGTATTAATTTATCACATTGTCAACATATCAGTTTGTGAACATAAAGGATTGTGAACATAATAGATTGTAAACACATTGTGAACATATCAGTTTGTGAACAAAATGGATTGTGAACATAATAGATTGTAAACACATTGTGAACATATCAGTTTGTGAACATAATGGATTGTGAACATAATAGATTGTAAACACATTGTGAACATATCAGTTTGTGAACATAATGTACTGTAAACATAGTGTGAACATAGTAAACATTGAATTATGTACATAACTGATTATGAACATAACGGTTTTGTAAACATAATGTATTGCAAACATAACATATCGTGAACATCATAAACATCAGATTATGAACATGCCTGATTATGAACATAAGTTTGTAAACGTAATGGATTGTAAAAATGCTGTGAACACAACAGTTTGTGAACATTGGAAACTTTATATTGAAAATATATCCTATGCAGATTATAAAATTTAATTGCTAACATAGAGTATAAATGTAATAGATTATGAACATAACAGTGTAACATAATAAAATGTAGTATTAGACAAAACTCACTATACTGAAGAATGTATTAAAACACAGTCATGTCGTCATGATACATGAGTGAGATTACATTAAAATAAAATTCCAGTATTTTTGGAGATACATTTCCAATAATGATATTACCCTTATGTTTACATTTCCTTGTTCTACACACAAGTATATCTCTAATCTACTGATCTGTTGCACTCAACTCATTTCACTCCCCGATCTACTGATCTATTGTACTCAACTCATTTCACTCCTTAATCTACTGATCTATAGTTGCGTTCACGCACAGCTCCTTAGCACGGGCTAAGAGGTCAAATTCCTTAGCCCGTGCTAAGAAAACGTGCGTGAAGGAATGCCAAGTACGGGTTAAATCTGATCCAAATTTAAGACACTGTCTAGACCTTAGCACGGGCTAACGAAGTATGCGCGAACGCTTAGCCCAGGGCTAAGCGCCCTCTGCGGCGACCTTTGGGTGTGAAAATTGTCCCATGTTCGTATAATGACACTATTTCACCAGTCATTACTCCGCGCTCACTTCCACACTAATCGGGTCACTGTAGTAGAGCGTACAGCAGCTCCAATTGTGGACAACATAAATTTGGTTCGATGTCTGCGACATGCATTAATAAAACTCTGTATTCTGTTACGCCCGTTGTATACTGTTTATGTGCATCCAAATAAGTTGGGTCCGTCTTCTCTGCGTTCCTGTGCACGTGGCTTCAAAATTAGAACGAGACATGCCAGCAGCAGAAATAGAACCTCGCGCGTGTCATCCATTTTTCGTTCGTAAATAGCGGCTTACCAAAGGTCACCGACTAATGGCACCCCTTAGCCCGTGCTAACGACTGGCCCTCCCTGTGCATGGACGCAATTGGGTCTAGCCAAAATGCAAATATGCTAGATAAGCCTAAATCAGCTTAAATCTTAGCCCGTACTTCGTGTAACGTGAACACAACTTATTGTACTCAACTCATTTCACTCCCTAATCTACTGATCTATTGTACTCAACTCATTTCACTCCCTAATCTACTGATCTATTGCACTCAACTCATTTCACTCCCTAACCTACTGATCTATTGCACTCAACTCATTTCACTCCCTAACCTACTGATCTATTGCACTCAACTCATTATTTTCCTCATTTACTAAATGTTTGCATCCTCAGTGTGTCCAGTTTATTCTCTAGTACAGCTTTCATTATTTGCTTTCTATTTCATCTCACTACTGTTTCATACATTCATTTTATGTAAACCAATCTTCTTATGTTGCATGTATGATATAGTAAATGTACGTTTGTAACAATAAATAACAACTAGTATTCCTGTATTTATGTTTTATAAACACATTTCATGCCAGTTTAAGTTGTACTGTGCTTTCAGGTGTAACATGTGACATGGTTTCATCCAATCACTGTACATTAGTTTACCCTGCTTTTACTGTATTTATGCCATAATTGTCATGTATAAACACCAAGGAGCTCATTAAATCTGGGAATTGAATTAAAAGTCCCTTGTGTGAAACAGCGAGCACATGGTGCTCTCTGTGGCCACACGCATATATATATATATATATTGAGTTCACCACAAAGGGTGTTCTCATATAATAAAATAAAACCAAGCTTTGTTCATTTATTACACAACTTCACATTAATGAAAGTTGTTCTCACTGTTTGTGTATTTTGTTTTTTAGGAGCCCATGTTGATCTGACTGATAAGAGTGGAAATACACCATTGCATATCGCATCAAGACATGGTCATGAGTTATTGATTGGTACTTTGTTGAATAGTGGAGCTGATCATAAACGGTATGCAAACATAACAATATAAATTATTTGTCAGTGAAAATACATTTAAAAAAAGTGATCTTGAGTTTGACAGAGAGCGGATCACATTACTATGGTGAACACCAAATCATGTATGGTCAAAAGATGTAAAAATAATGATTTTGTGAAACTAAGCAATTTATATATTGAATCTAACAATGAAAACAGTTCAATATTAATGGGAAGTTGATAATCTGACATTTTCAGTGGTAGTTCTTTTTTGGTCTTGGCATCTTATTCTAAGATTGACACTATGATTTTATCATCTACTTGAACAAACTATGTTTCATGAAGGCCAAGATATTTAGACATGTTTGTCTCATAGATGAGTCAAAGTTTGAAATAATTACTTATAAAAATTGTCAATATCAAATGCATTTCAACTTGGCACACTACCAGATCCTCATAGCATGCACATCTTTTTGGTTCACAGTGCAATTCAAGGTTTACTCATTCATCAAATCAATGGCATTTTATCCCACTTGATTTTAAAACTGAATATATGTAAAAAAAAAAATTAAAAGTGTCAAATAATTATTTTCAATCTACTGTATGTCTGTATAGGAGAGGTGTGAATGGTATGTCTCCCCTTCATCTCGCTAGTCTCAGTGGTTATGTAGATTGCTGTAAGAAACTACTGGAATGTGGTAAGATTATCATAGAGCTTTAACTTTATTTACATATTAGTAATGTTAATTTCTATGATTTATTTATTATATAATAATTGGCCAAACTATTAGGACACTAATGTAAAGTTATCACTAGAATATTGCAAAGTATTCGGTAAGGTGATCATATTGACTAATGTGTATGGTAGATGCAATTGAGGTTGAACAAAGGAAAGTGTTTGAATTCAATACTGTAAATTACTTTATTTTTCGCTATTTTTGCTGAAGGAATAATTCAGTGAAAATAAAATCCAGCGAATATATTTTTTTCTTATATTTTACACTCAACTCGTAAAAAATCTGTGAAAATAAATTCCATACAAAACACCCAAAAAGCCTTTGCAGCGAAAATAAATTCCAGCAAAAACAAAGCATTTTACAGTATAACAAGTAAACAGTTGTAGTTAGATGTAGTTTGCCCCAAATATGAGAACTTAAAATGATGGAATGAGTAAAAAAATAACATAAGCCACATTTCTATAGTTTTTGGTGCTAGATGCATGATAATAATTAATAATATGCGTCATTACAGGTTACGAGATTGATTCTGCTGATGACAGCGGTAGAACTTGTCTGCATACAGCTGCTTGTGGAGGGTAAGTGAGGTTATCAACGTAAGTTTCATGTCTCTGATAGTGGTCACTTGGGACAGGAAAATCATGTGTGAAAAACCTACTACTGCATGAATTAGAGGAGGGTGCATTATTATCATCAATCATTGTGTTATCTGTAACATCAGTGCTAGTGTGTTTAAAGAGTAAAATAAATTTAACCATCTTGATAAGATATTTTGTATTTCTGTAGGAACGTTGAATGTCTTGACTTATTAATGAGTCGTGGTGCTGATTTCACAGTAATGGATAGCTTTGGTAGAACACCGATACATTATGCGGCTGGTAACGTGCATTATCAGTGTGTATTATCGTTAGTAGCGGTAGGTGCCAATGTTAACCAAGCTGATAGAAGAATGTGTACACCGTTACATTATGCATCTGCGTCAGATGCAGATGCTAAGTAAGTCTATTGTTACGATTTAATTCCTGTCTGTTGTTCCGATCATTATTCAAATATGGTCTTGCGTGTTCCTACTGAATTTTGAATGAGAGAGACTTGACAGAGACTGCATGGTTTTACTCAGCTTTGTCAAATTCTAGAATGACACATTTTCTTAAAGATCTGAAAAACCGAAATTTAAACAATTAAAAAATATATCAGCACCGTTTATCAAAGTGTTTACTACTGGCAATAGAAATCAAATTAATCATAAGTTTGTAGAGAAAAACAATCATTTATAAATACAGTATACAACCTTTTTGACTCCTGTGTGCGAAGCACAAAAGGGAGTCTTTGCAGTTACCCTGTCTGTCTGTCTGTCTGTCTGTCTGTCTGTCTGTCTGTCTGTCTGTCTGTCTGTCTGTCTGTCTGTCTGTCTGTATGTATGTATGTATGTATGTATGTATGTATGTATGTCACTTTTTTTGTTCCACCGTTATCTCAAGAACCACTAATCAAATTTTGGTGAAACTTGGTACATAGATGCTCTGGGATAATGCGCAGAGTTGATGAGGTTTTGGTAAAAATCTATGAATATTAATCACCTAATTTGCATGATAATTAGCTGATTTTTAGCTGTTCTATGACTCTTCCACTGATTTTTTAAGAACCACTCATTGGATTTCAATGAAACTTGGCACATGGATGCTCTGAACTAATGCGCAGATTTGATTAGTTTTGGGTAAAATCTGTTAATATTATTAATTACCTAATTTACATGATGATTAATCAATTTTCGGCTTTTCCACTGATATCTCAAGTACTAATCATAACATTTCAATAAAACTTGGTACATAGGTGTCATATGACACTGCACAGACCTGATAGTTTTTAGGGTAATATCAGTACATATTAATTACCTAATTTGCATAATTAATTAATTTTCCGCTTTTGATATTTCGAGTAGTAATGATCATGTTTCATTGAAACTTGGTACCTAGTTACTTGAGGACTGTGCAGAGACCTAATTAGTTTTTGGGTAAATATTTGTGCATATTAATCATCTTATTAGCATAATTAGTTAATTTTCAGCTTTTCACCTGATATCTCAAGTACTAATCATCACATTTCAATGAGACTTGCGACATAGCTATTCTAGGACTGTGCAGAGACTGATTAATTTTGGGATAAATAATTGTGCTATTAATTACTAATTTGCATAATTAGTTAATTTTTGCTGTTCTATGGCTGTTGCACTGATGTCTAAAAACCACTCATTGGATTTCAATGAAACTTTTGAAGAGTACCCATCACATTTCAATGAACCTAAGACTGTGCACCATATTAGTTTTTAGTAAATATTTATGCTTCTTAATCACCTAATTAACATAATTAATTAATACTGATATCTCAAGTATTGATCATCACATTTGAATAAAACTTGGTCCATAAATGCTCTAGGACAATAGACAGCCTGATTAATTTTGGGTTAAAATCTGTTCATATTAATTCTCTAATTAGCATAATAACTAATATTTTTTTGGTTCTAATCACATTTCAATGAAACTTGGTACATTGTGCAGACCTTATTAGTTTTACACTTAAATCTGTTCATATTAGTTATCTTATTTGCATAAATAGTTTTCAGCTATTCCATCAATATCTCAAGTATAAGTAATTTTGAATTAATTTTTAATGTGTCTCCAAAACTCTCAGCACATGGGAGTTCTTTCTAAGCTTTCTTTGATTTAGTTTCCCTGTTGACTTTATTGAGCGGAGCTAATCATATCACTGATTGTTATCACTGATCTCAGCTGAGAGGCTGCTTGTTGTGGATTTTTTAAGACCAACACTGAATTTAAGACTAGGTAGAGCTCACATAAATACTCCAAACATAAAACAGTAACTGATGCTTATCTCTTTGAATATGTAATTTGGATATTCATTACATTTGTTTTTTCTCTTTTATAGGGTTGTAGAACATTTGCTACGAAATGATGCCAACCCATGTTTACGTGACCATAGTGGATTCAATGCAGTTCACTATGCAGCGGCTAACGGACATAAATTAGCATTGGAAATGGTAATAATCGCATTAAATTTCCATCGCAACTATAAAACAAAATGTGATGTACTGTAAAATCTGTATTAGAGGCTGCAACTTGTATTAAAATGGTACAAGGTACGACTTCTAGTAGAGTTTTTACACATTTGAAAATTTAGAAAAAAAATCGGTGCAACTCTATTAGGGATGCAAATTCTAATGCAGATTTTACGGTAGCATATTTATTCAAATTATTAATCTGCAGATTTGACTAGCAAGTTATAAAATGACTGCATGATGTTATTCTCTTGGCAGCTATTAGATGTAGCAGGTACCGATTTACTAAGTAGAAGTGGAGCAGCTCCATTAACCACGCCTCTTCATTTAGCTGTAAGTTTGATTTTTTGTTTTGTGCTGTTTTCAAACTCTTCATAGCTTTGCATGACTTAGGCTTTCCTGCTAATGGTTACCAATTTGCCTAATAATACTCAGCAAAAACTAGTAGTGAAATTACCATGTTTTTATCAACCGGAACTTTTAATCTTTCTTCTCTGTTATGTTGCACTTTTTTCAGTGGTAAATACAGAGTGAAACAGATTTTTTTTTGTTTAAACAATTACTAATTATTTTTTTAATTGAGTTGTACGCTCAGACCAAAATATGAGTACAGACAATAAAAAAACGCAATATTGGTGGAATGACTATTGCTAATTTGCATGGAAATAAAAATAATTTTTAGCTCATTTACACAAAAAATTTTTTTTGATTTTCCGAAAAGAAAACAGGTAAAAAGCATTACTCAAAACAATTTTGACCTAAGTAATATTAAAGCACCACTGCATTTCTGTCATACAATTCATTTTCGTGTAAACAATGAATTTAACAGTCATTGTATGCACTGCATGGAACCTGTATTAAACTGGGCAATGGTCATGTTCATGTTCATATTTTGTCGCTATTGGCCCTTAATATAATAAATCTATTTCCTGGGCACTCTGGGTACAAATGTACCTTTAATATTCTGTTTTTTTCACAGTCCTACAACGGCCATGTGGATGCCTTGTTGGTGTTGATGCGTAATATAATGAATCTAGATATACAGGATGGCAATGGAAGGACACCATTAGATTTAGCCTCTTTCAAAGGCCATGCGGAATGTGTTGAAGCATTAATTATGCAAGGTGCTACTATATTGGTACATGATAGAGTGTCTAAAAGAACACCAATACATGCTGCAGGTGAGTGTAACACTACAATTATATAGCACAGTAAGACAAGGTACTAGTTGTATATGAGAGAACAAATTGTTCCAACATTATATATGATAAATTTTCAGCTTACAATGGTCATACTGAATGTATGAGAATCCTTATACAGAACGCTGATAGTCAAAGCATAGTAGACTGCCTTGATGACCAGGCTAGGACACCACTCATGATAGCAGTAGCAAATGGGCATATAGACTGCACATTGTTATTATTAGCACAGTCAGCTAATGTGAATAACCGTGATATATATGCAAGGACTGCTCTACATAGGGGGGTAAGTTATTCATTTTATTCTAAGTAAGTACTAATTGAAACAGTATTGATTCCCTCCTATCAATGCCAAAGGTCTTCAATGTCAAAACTATGGACATAATCACAATGTTGTTGAACTGAGATGCGTGTGTGCATGCATGTGTCAAACAACAGTTACTGTTACAACCAAGAACAGATAAAGTGTGTCCAATAAATTCACACTGGAGACCTCTGCAATACTCAATGTTCAAGTACTGTCTTTAGGTTATGTTATTTACCGCAGTGTCATCTCGGTTACATGCTTCGTAGAAATTATATTGACTCACATGTGTGACAATCGTGCTGTAACTTAGTCGACCATTGCAATATTCTGTACTCGGTTTTACCTTTGCTTGTCATATAATGTTGTGTTTGTATTTTTCTTTCAGGCTGCCAATGGGCATGAAGAATGCGTAGATGCACTCTTACAGAATAATTCAGATCCATCTATTCGTGATGTCAGAGGTCGTACACCATCACACATGGCTGCTGCTTGTGGTCATGTTGGAATGTTAGGTGCTCTTATACAAGCCGGTTGTGATAATATCGTTGATAATCAAAACTATACACCTTTACATTGGGCTTGTTATAATGGTGAGTAAAATATCTAAATAATTTATCTACAGGTAAATTTACCATTCCGATATAAACAAGTATATGTGCTCAAGCGTTAAAATGCTTATTTGTCACAAATAGATGCCAAAAATGGTGACATTATCAATAGTATTTTGATTCATGGTCTTCTTTCAATAAAAAAAAATGTTTTGAGTAGAGATTTGGTATAAGGTCAAAGGGTCTTATTGCATACATATAATTATACCCGCTACAAACAGGCCATGCTGAAATTTTAGCCTGGGACTCTTTCAAAAATTAAAAAGGATAAAAATATGAATCAATGTGAACGTGAGCAATCATGATCAGAGATTAACCGAAAACACTCCAGTCGATTTCAATCAGCTAATATGTTGATGAAAAAGTCAAGATGTTCACCAAAATAAATAATTTGCTCATAGAAATGAGATGAAACTTATTTGAAGCTGATGATGTGAACCTGAAGTGTAACTGACGCAAAGCGGTGTGGAGTGAAGCAATACCACATTGTAGCAAAGCTGAATTTTTTTACGCGAAGCTGAAGCAATGATGTATCAAAAACAACCAAAGCCAATGTGACATCTGTACTGTAACTATTAAAATATGTTTGAGCAACAGTGTTTGAATCCCCTCGACGTCATTTTCACATTAGCACATAGTTTTAGAGGATGTGATTTACTGTAAAGATGTATAGTAAGAATACATATACTGTATTTGTTCTATTAATAGTGTGTATTAAAGAGGTGTGTCTATGATCAAAATATATCATATTATCAAATAATCCAGTGTACAATACATTCCTTTTTATTTGAGACATTCTTCTAATAAAGCTAATATGGTACATCAAATAGTACATATTCAATCTTGAATGATTTACATTATATTCCCCGTCACATACTGTCAATTGTTGTGTTATAGAACTCTTCAATTTGATGTTTGTTTTTAGGTCATGAAAGTTGTGTTGAACTTCTTTTAGAACAAGACCGCGCACTGTACTTTGATGGAAATACATTCTCACCACTGCACTGTGCTGTGTAAGTTAATTTTTCTTTTGTTGCTGAATTTTTTCTGATTTTCCTGTTAACAATTATATTTTTCACCCATGGAACATGATTTTAAATTTGGGCTCACTGGAACAGGACTAATTTTGTAGGGATCCTTTGAGTCAATCATCAGCATGTATTGGCTTAGAGAGTATACTGGTGTTTTTATAGTCTTTTAAGAAGCCCAACCCACATGTATCAACTTGAATTTAAATTTAATACATGTAGTTCAGGATGTATTGAATATTTTTTATTTGTTTTTGCTTTTTGTCACTAGCTTAAATGACAATGAAAATTGTGCTGAATTATTATTAGAAGCTCTTGGTGATAAAATAGTAAATGGTCAGGACGAAAAGGGAAGGTATGTTTTATATAAGCGTGGATAGATTGATTTTCTGTTGCTCTGTGTCATGGGACAATATATAATGTTAATAGTTGGGATAAAGTATATGTTTGTGTGTCTAGAAACCAGACGTGGTGTTGTATCAAATGTTGTTCTGTAATCCTTCCTAATAGATAAAAGAACATATGTACAATTGTAAGAATTAAGCAACTTGTAATTAGAAGAAAGATTTTCAAGTGCTGAAATTATTTTGTATTTCTCAAACACCTATACATGCTGTTCCATTCAATGACTGTGTATGTTCATTTCTAGAACACCTTTACATGCTGTCCTTTTCAATGACCATGTATGTTGATTTCTAGAACACCTTTACATGCTGTCCCATTCAATGACCATGTATGTTGATTTCTAGAACACCTTTACATGCTGTTTCATTCAATGACCATGTATGTTGATTTCTAGAACACCTTTAAATGCTGTTTCATTCAATGACCATGTATGTTCATTTCTAGAACATCTTTACATGCTGTTTCATTCAATTACTGTGTGTTGATTTCTAGAACACCTTTACATGCTGTCCCATTCAAAGTCTGTATGTTCATTTCTAGAACACCTTTACATGCTGTCCCATTCAAAGTCTGTATGTTCATTTCTAGAACACCTATACATGCTGTCCCATTCAATGACTATGTATGTTC